TATACTAATTCCTTTTTTTAATCAAGTTATGTATTTTATTTTTTATTATCTCGTTTCTAACCATTAATTATTTATGACTCTAATGTTGAAATAAAAAGAAATCTAGTATTTCAATTTATTTTATTATCTTTTTTGCCTTGTTAATAATTTTATAACTATAAGATGGTATTTACAGAATCATTCCTAATATTTAACACTATAACTTTTTAAATATATTTTTATAGAGTTCAAATTGATTTAAATTTATAGTAATTCTTAAGTTTAGCATGGCTAAATATCTTTTCATCAATTCTAAATTATGATATAACTCTCTTTTTTTGATTTATTTAAAAAGTTAAGTAACATACATAATAGTCTGAAAATCGAATTTTCGAAGCCCCTTGTATATAAGCACCTATGATATTATTTGATTGAGTGTTTATTATTAATTTTTATGTTTTAATATATATAATTAAATAAAAAAATTTTAGTAAACAAATTAATTAACTGTCATTTAAATTATTTTATATAAATATTAATTAAAATTATGAGTTCTTTCTCGCCTAAGTTAGCCAAAGGTTCAACCAAAACTGGATTTATTGGTACTTTTGAAGCTGAATTATTTGCACAACAACAAAATACTTAATTAAGAGCTTAAAGAATGTAATAGGTACAATATAAAATTTACATTAGATTCGTAAATAAGAGACAGACTTAACAAAAAAGAAGATTCAATAATAATAACAACAATAATAAAAATAGTTTGAAGAAGAAATGAAAAAATAAAAATATTAAGAATATTTATAAAAAAAAGCTTAGATTGAATAATTAGAACAAGCACGTTAATAAACAATACTTGAATAATAACGATAAGCTAGGGAAGCTGAAGAGTATAGATAAAGGGAGTTAGAATAGTAGTAGGAAAAGTTAAAAATGTAGTAGTATTATGAGGAGCAAGCATAAAAAAGATTTTAAGAAGCATGTGAATGGAAAAAATAATCATTTTTGGAAACATCATAAGGAAAAGCAATTTAAATATAAAATTAAAGAAAGGAAGCATCTATTATTGAAAAGTAAAAAGAAGCTTAATCTGTTGCTATATACAAAGAAACCTCTAAAAATAAAATTTCATCTACATTTTCATAAGATCTAGAAAGTTATGAAAAATTTGATAAAAATATTTCTCGTAGATAAATTTTAAAACCTGAAGATTTTGCTAATACATGTTTTCATAATCCTTAAGTAGTTAAACATGATGTAGATTAAGAAAAAGAAAATGCAATGGAAAAAGCCAATTAAACCTTGATTGAAACATAAGCAATGCTTTTAGAATAAGCAAGATAAAAAAGAGAATAAGAAAGAATATAGAAATAAAGATGTTAAAAAGCATTATCTAAAGAGAGATAAATTAAAGTTTTAGAATAATTAGAATAAGAAACAAAATTCATTAAAAAACAAGAAATAATATAATTATAAAAGACTAAGCCTCCAACTAGAAAGCCGAAATCAGAAAAAAATCATTAAAAAATGTTGTCGTCAGAATTTGAAAAAATATTTAATTGCAATAATTCTTCTATAGAAGTCAGAGATCATAGAGTTAGATCAAATTCTCCAAATAAATCTGCAACAACAAAGAATAAAGATAAATAAAGGCCAAAATCAGTAAAAATCTTCACTAAAGCTCCACTTGATACAAATCTTTTGAATGAACATTAAAAAGAATCATTAGTTAAAGAAGACTATACAAAATATGCTTTAGGATCTGAGGATTAGAGTACTTCTCAAAAAAAGAAAGTATAATTTAGTGATATCAAAAATGAATCTCCTTAAAGTAATTAATTTTAGAATAAAGAAATTGAATAGACATTAAAAATTAATGATTCAAAATCGCCATTCTAAAATCATTTTAATTAAGAATCAGCTCATTCAAACGAGAATAGTGATGAAGAGGAAAATTAATAGTAATAATAAAATGAATCCGATTCAGAAGACTAAAATCAAAATTAATAAAGTGATGTTGATTCTCCACCTTAATTAAAGTCAAATTAAATATAAGATATTAGATAATACATTAAAGAATAAGAATAATATTTATAAAAATTAGAGTAATAAAGAATCAATACAAAAATGAAAATTAAGGAGGAGGAATCAAATTTAGTTTAATCTTTCAAAAATACAAGAAAATAACAATTTTCTAAATAACCAATTCCAGAGGAATCAGAAGATGAATCTTCTTATTAGTAATCACCGTCTCAAATTAATTAAGAAAACAGTGATAGATACTAGTAATCTTCTTAGTAATAATCTTAATTCTAAAATTAATACTAAACAAGTCCTGAAACATAAAATCTTTAAAAAAGTTCTTATTTAGAAACAATTGATAATTTCGATCCTTAAGACATAATGGAATAGTTTTTGAAACCTAAAAAAACTGGAAATATTTAAAATCAGAATAAATAACTATCTTTATTTGCTGATCCTTAATCCTCACAAAAACAAACTATATCTAGCTAATAAAAATAATCTTAGTTTGTAACATTATAATAAATGAATTCTCCAAATTCAGATCTAAATTATTCATTAAGTGAGGTTAAGAATGTTACTTCTCCAATAAAAAAATATGAATTTTAATAATCTCCACCTCTTATGGTATAGCAATAAGAGTCTTCTTTAAAAAAAGATTCAATAGATTCTGAATAAATGAAATATTCACTCTAGTAATCTTCAGAATAATTATAAGATTTAGTATAGCAAGAATATGAAGAAACATTAGGAGAAATATTTTAAAAGAGAAAAGCTATGTTAGCGAAGAAATTTGAATAAAGATAAGATTCAAAAACTGTTGAAAAAGGTGGAAAGACTAAAGAGGAATTAATATAGATTAGAAAAGATATGTTAAAAAGTAAAAGATAAGTAGAGAAAGAAAAATAAGAACAAGAGGAATTATAATAAGAACCTTCAGAATAAGAATTAAAACCAATAGAATAATAAGAAGATAAAAGAGCTTAATTAATGAAAAGATTAGCAACAGGAGAAAAAGTTAAGGTTGATAAAAAAGAGATGAAAGAATTAACAAACAAAAATTATGAATTATTGCCTGAAGTAAAGAAAAAGAAGGATGAATATGAAAAAAACGAAAGTATTAAATAAAGAAAATAAAAAGTTAAAGAAATGGATCAGAAACTAAGAGAAACTATGAAATAAAGAAGATAATAATGTTCTTGATTTTTTTTACAATTTTTTTATATCAAATTTTTATTATTTGTTATTTAACGAATATTTTTAATGAACGCTATGAAAAAAATGTCAGAAAGTAGACATTTCTCGTCATAATAATAGGGTATAATTCAATTATATAATGAAGAAAGTAGTCCATTAATGAATTAATCCACAAATTAATCAACTAAAAAAAGAAACAAAAACAAAGAAAATATAAATTTGTTTAATGAAGTTAATTCTCTTCTTTAATACTATCAAAACTCAAATATCCTCAAAAGTATTTGAATTTATAAAATATAAGAAAAAACTTCATTACCAACTTCAATGGTTTCTCCAAAGAAAATGATGGATGATATATTTTTAAAGCAAGTACTTTAAACGAGAAAAACTAATAGTAGAAATAAAGTCAGTGTTTCATAAAATGTTGGATAAAAAGTATTGAGCTTATCACCAATAGAATAAAAATAAAAGTCATTCACAAAAGGAAATTAATTTCGCTGTGCATATCACGCTAACAAAAAAGTAAAAAAAGCTGTTAAAATAGGCAAAATTTTTTGAATATAATCGAAGTGTAGGAGCTATATTTTATTGTTCTGAATGTTCTGTTGGAAAACTGATAAAAGGAAATATTCTTTTTCCAGTTGAAAATTATTAGGTTAAGCAAGTTTCAAATAAAAAAAGAGAAAATTAGTCTGTTAGTAGAGCTAATTTTTGGTCTGTGGATGAAAATTCGTTATTATCTAATTCTCCCTTTTTATTAGAATCTACTGATACATTCACTAGTATTACTGATGATACTGAAGATAAAGTTAAAGAATTAAAAGATTTCCAGAAATCATTATAATCTTTATAATAAGAATGTTAATCGATAATAGACAATGCAAAAGGAAATACTTATTAAACTCAATTCAATACATTAAATACAGAGTTATAATAATTATTATATATGATAAATATACAGTCAATGAAATTGTTACAATAGTTACAATCATAAAATCATTTATAATAAGTCTATGAAGTTCAAAATGAATTAAATTCAATTTTATCTGATATTTAATCAAATGAATCTAATATACTCAATAATATGTCCATTAAACCATTTAAATAAATAATGAATGTAATTTATTTATTTTATTTTAGAAATACAAAGAAAAGCTAAAAGGACATACCTAAACTATTAATAATTGTTCTAGTAGTCAATAAATATTTGAATTAGATGATAGATTATAAAAATTAAATAAAGTGAAAAAACTCCTAAAAACAAATTTTAAAATTGAAACAGATGAATAAGAATTGCTAAGCACAAAGAGAAAGTTAAGCAGTAATGTTTATATTTCTTTTGAAAATAAAGAAATGTTCTTAGCAGCTGCTGCAGCTAATAAAGCTAATAGTATTCATGCAAAAGATGAGCCTGATTTGGTTCAAATAGATGATAAGTGTCATTTACTTGAATCTCCTAATTTTATTCAGAATTGAATTAAAAATATAGATTTTTGATTTATATATTTTAATAAACTTTTATTATTATGAGATATAATTATTCATGTTTCAAAATTTTTTTAAATACTCTCAAAATCAATTAATAGAATAATATTCCTTTTAAATAACTTTAATTTATTTGGACTGCAATAATAATCAAGACTCTATCTTATCCTTTTGATCAAATGTTATTTATACGAAAAGTAGTTGTGAAAAATAATTCATTACTATTTAATAAACATAATTCAGAAAATTTTCGATAAATTTCGATTAAGTTCATCATAATATTGTTAAATTGAAAAAGATCTTCAAAAATGAAAATGAAATAAACATTAACAAAAAGTTTATTTCGCTTTTAAAAAATATTACACCCTGTTAAGAATCTTAAATATCAGCTATTTGCATTTGTTAGGTAATTTTTTTAATAGAAAACTTTTAAATTTATGTTTCTTACTTTTTTAAGTTATGGAGTAAGCTTAATTTTTGTTTAAACACTTTTTAAGTCTTTCAAAATTTAGACCTGTTTCAATATTCAAGTTAAAAATTAGAAATAAAAAAAAGAAAACATTATTAAAGTCATATATTTGATCAACAGAGTTGCGAAATTCAAAAATGTTCAAACTTAATATCAGTTAAAAGAAAAAATCTCATGTAAATTGATATTGGAGATGATCATAACTGTATGCATTCAAATTTTCTTTATAATTTGCTTATTTTTATTGTAAAAAATCGCTTAAATAAATAATAAATGTAGGATTGATCATTTTTTTTAGAATTAAGTAATTAAAATCAAATATAAACTAAAGCCTAATTTGAATGTGAAAATGTTATGGTAAAAAGCTCATTTTTATATTTGTTGATGGGTTTTGTTATCAGATAATATCAACTTGATTTATAAATATTAAAAGATGTAGTAAATAAGTAAGATATTTTATAAATTAAAATGATGATGGTTTGAAATAACTGAATAAAAGAAAAAACTGAATTCATTTTAATAACCCCTATTCTTTTATTTTTTCAGAAATTAAATAAATGTCAATATCATCATCGATTTCAAATACACCAACACCCTCAAGAAAACCATGGACCAACAAAGAAGATGAATTATTGCATGAACTTAGAAAAAAAAACAATTTAGATTGGATTGAGGTGGCAAGAAGAATAGATGGAAGAAATCCATCTTAATGTGCTTAGAGATGGAAAAGAATTAAAGGATTTAAATTAAGAAAACAATGGACTGAAGAAGAAAATCAAAAATTAGTTGACTTAGTTTCTAAATTTGGTTATCATTGGAGTAAAATTAGTTCTTTTCTTCCATAAAGAACTGGAAAACAGGTAAGAGAACATTATCTTAATCAATTACACCCAGATATTAATAATGAACCATGGACAAAGGAAGAGGATGAAAAAATAATAGAATTTTACAAAAAATTTGGTGGCAAATGGAGCCAGATTAGCAAACACTTAAACAAAAGATCAGAAAATAGCATTAAAAATAGATTCTACTCATACTTAAGAAACAAATATCTTAACATTAAAAATCCATACTACATTGTACCAGAAAAAAAATAAAAGTTAAATGAATCTATAGATACTGAGGAAAAATAAGATAAATAAGAAAAATAACTAATTAATCCTATAAAATAAGAACCTTCATTTCAAACCAATTCTTAATAAGTTCCTAAAGAGTTAAATATGCAATTCTTTATACCCTTCTATCAAAATACATTGATTTAATATCCTATGGCTTATCCTTGTGCTATGTTATTCCCAATTTGTTTGTATTAGTAATAAGGATCGTTAGTCAATCAGCCTATGCGATATTGATTTTTAATTTTAGATTATCGAGTTTATTTTAAATATTATAAAAGATGTTTTATTTTCATTATGTTTTAGAATCATTAATTTTCTATATTATCAAAATATATAAGACATATTATTCTTAATATCAGGCTTCAACAATAATTTATTTATTTAAACATATTTTTTTATGCAATACGTTTTATTACAATTTTTATTTCGATTTACATATATTTAATAATATATATCTTTTAAATGAAATAAAAGAAATTAGATTCATGAAATTAATTTTTATTTTAACATTTTGTTTGAATCCTAAAAATAGTGCACTTTTAATTGAAAGAGAATAATTTTGTTAAAAATTTATTTAATAGATTATTGATTATTCAGAATTGCGAACATATGGATAATAAAGAATAATATCTAACACTTTAAACTTGATATTTACCGTTGCATTTTGTGCTAAAGGTACAAAATTTTATTTAGATGAGCATTTTCTAAAAAGAAATTTACAAAATTTATTTTATGTAATTCAGGGTTAATTCCTTTTTTTCCACAATAGCAATTATAAGACAGTAAAATTACAGAAATAAAATTCCATGATTAAATAAATCAAAATTTCAAGATAAACCTTAATGAATTGGTGTGAAAATAAAGCTTGAAAGAATTATTTATTTTAGATCGAATATTTTATAAAACTGTGTAAGAAGTAATCATTGTTATTCTATGATTTTTGATTAATAACGATGTTATTCCTAAATTAAAATTTGAATAATTCGATGCTATAATGTGCATTGATTTTTAATAAAATACTTATTAATATGGGGGATTTAAAAATATCGAGTCTTAACCTCACTAAAAAGTACAGCAATTCTTTTTAACTGTTTTTGATGGTTCATAGTCATCGGGTCTTTAGAGGGTTTTTCATAATGCTGTTATTGTTTCATATGATTCTTTTGTTAGTTCCATGGATTGAAATTAAAATACCAGCATGGCCTATACTAAAAATATTTATTACAATAGGTACTTCTTTATGGCCATTTCCAACCTCCGGTATGCTATCAGAAGAAAATCTATACTTAAGACAGTTATTAATGAAAACATTAGAGATTTCAGTGATAATGTTATATGCAATAGATTTATTGCCAAAAATCTTTATTTGGAGATAAAATGCATTATGGAAGTTTGTGAATATTGTAATTTTATCTCAAATGATGTTTTTGTTGCCAGTTTCAATAATTGCTTATGATAAAGTTGCATTACCCAGTGATACAATGAAATTACGTATATTTTCTATTAGTTTCTGTTTTGTGATTGTATGTGAAATTCTTAGCATAAGAGAATAAAAATCATTGAGATTTTTACAAATAACTTAAAGGTAATAGGAAAAGCAAAGATAAATAAAATAAAAAATATAGGAATTTAGTTGGTGTGAAATAGTAAAGCATGATTCCCCTGATGACTGTTGGATTGTAATTAAAGATAAAATATATGATGTTACATAATTTTTATAATATCATCCAGGGTATTAAATTTCAAATTAACATTAGTGGTAATATGATACTTGATGGAGCTGGAGGAGATTGTACTGCACTTTGGTATTCCTATCATCCTAGTAAATTAATAAAATAAGAGCCTCCTTAATAGTATTTGATAGGGATAGTCAGAGATTATTAATAATATTATTCATATGATGATGATTTCTATTAAAATATAAAGGAGGAGGTAGAAGATTTGATTCCAAGAAATAATTGGCAGAACCATTGGATACTTTTTATAAAAGGATTCCTTTGTTTAATAGGATATCTAGCATGTTTATATTATTACATAAACTATTGTACATTATTGTCTGCAATTTTATTAGGATTTTTTGCTGCATAAGTATTTTAATTAATAGATTTCTAGGCTGATGTGAATATAATGCATGATGGTAATCATTATGCCTTCTCATCAAATAAAACATTATCTTTTTTAGCTGGTTATGTTTTGGATCTAACTTTCTCCACTAGTGTTGTATATAGAAGATCTCATAATTTTGGACATCATAGTTGTGTTAATCATTTGGAATTAGATAGAGCTTTTGATACTACCTTTCCTTACTTAAGATTGCATCCTCTTTAATAAAGATATTGGTATCATAAATATTAACACATGTACATATGGATTATTTATACATTTGTTAATTTCACTGATGTATTTGGAACCTTTGATGAAATGTAATGGTTTAGTAATTTCCCTTGTAGAAGGGGATATGTGTCTAAACTTTAAGTCTTTTTATAAATTCTTGTCAAACTCTTGTGGATCTTAATTACTTTAGTTTATCCTTCTATCAAGTTCACTTATAAAGTTGCATTTGGAATGTGGTTAGTTTATAATGCAGTTCACAGTTATAATTATGCTTTATACTTTTCTGTCAATCATTGGACTCTAGAAGCTGGTGTTGTTGATAATCAAAATATTAATCAAACTAATTGGGGTAAATTGTAAATCTAAAATTCTTCTAATTTTGCTCTTGATTCTTTTATTTGGACTCATTTATCTGGTGGACTTAATTACTAAGTATAGTCATATAATAATTATTTAGATTGAGCATCATCTATTCCCTTAGTTTGCACATACTCGACTCAAAGAAATTAAGGAAACCATCTAAAAGAAAGCTAAATAAGCAAAAATCAAGTATAAAGTTTGATTAATTAATTAGATATTTTGAATTCCCATCATTTTTACATGCCTTAATTAGTCATTATCAATTGTTAAAAATTTTAGGATCATAAGATAAAGTTTGAATTATTTTAATTATTAATTAATTAATAATTAGAAAATGAAATTCATCATCTTCTTCTGTTTAATCTTTATAGGTTAAATGAATGATTCTTATATTAATGAAAATATTTAGCATTAATTTTAACTCTTTATAGATAATGAAATTAATCTAAAAGGTCTATTAAAATCATTTTAAGATGAGTTTTTATAAGTAAATATGAAAAAACTGAATTATCAACCAAAATAAATGTTCATTAATAATATTTTGAGTACTCAAAAACATACTCCATAAGTTTGTTTTAAAGAATTAATAACACTAAATTCATAATCTTAGCAAAATATTTTTGATTAAGAGAAGTTACTTTAATAAATGGAAAGAGTTGTATTATCATGTTATTAGTTGCAAAAATGTAAGTTTTATAAATAAATGAGTAGATTGGGAATAAATTTAAACTTGCTATATAGAATTAAATGCTTTATAGAGTAATATTGGTAAATTAGAAAAAATAAATAAGCCCTCATAAAATAGTTATTTAATATTAAGACAATTGATTGAGAGTGTTTTTTAGAAGTGTGAAAGTTAAAAAGAAATCATATTGAACAAGAAGTGCTAGAATAGTTTATTAATGATTGGAGGAATGAAGGAAAATGAGCTAAACTTTGGATAGATTAACAATGGTTTTGTTTCTGAATGTTGGATATGAATTATTATAAATTAAATTATTAATGTCAAGAACAAATGATGAAGATTATGATTACTTATTTAAAATAGTTTTGATAGGTGATTCAGATGATTAATATTTATAGGCGATTCTGGAGTTGGGAAAACAAATATTTTAAAAAGATTCATCAATAATGAATTCTAACTTGAATCGAAACCAACAATTGGAGTTGAATTTGCAACAAAGACAATTCAATAATCAGGAAAAGCGGTTAAATGTTAAATTTGGGATACTGCAGGATAAGAAAGGTAAGAGATAATTTAAAATGATTTTATTTTAGATATAGAGCAATTACGCATGCATATTATAGAGGAGCTGTAGGAGCATTTATCTGTTATGATGTAACGAGAGAGGCAACATTTAAAAACACAGAAAAATGGTTAGCAGAGCTAAAGGATCATGCAGATGGAAATATAGTGATTATAATGATTGGAAATAAAATAGATGCAATAGATTAAAGAGTACAACTAATTTGTTATTTAGACTGTGAGAACAGATGAGGCTTAAAATTATTGCGAATAATAAAAAATAGGATTTATTGAAACTTCAGCATTAGATGGGACTAACATAGATTTAGCATTCAACAAGATTGTAGAAAGTATTGCAAACTTTTTTTATAAATTTAGACATTTTTAACACAATTGGTTCAAAAACCGTTAAGAAAGTAGTTTAAGTAGAATCCGAACATGTAGTATTATCAGAACCTAAGGTAACTCAGACTAAACCTAAAAAGAATAGCGAAGGATGTTGTTGAAATATTTCAATGTGTGTTCTTGATTATTTATTTTAATACTCACATCATTCAAATTTTTATTCATTTTCAATTTTTATTTTACTTATTTAACATTTAATTCACTCAAATAATCAAACATATTTGAAGTTCTTTTTTGATGAACTCTTATTAAAATATGAAATCAATTAAAACTTCAATAAAACTAATTATATTAAAAATTCATTATAATGTATTCAATTAATACAGAACCTTAACCTATTGCTATTGTTAGTTTACAAATGAATGATAGAGAAGAAGAAATTAGAGTTTATGAAGGCGAAGACGTAGAATACGTCGTTAAATTATTCTGTTAAAGAAATCATTTGGGTTAAGATTGTGTTTTATATCTGGTTGATCAAATTAATCAATAATTACAAAGAGAATCTTCTCCAAGGTTTGGAGAAAGCTTTGGTTATAATAATATTTCTCATCAACTACTTCATCCAAATCATAGTTAATAGAGTGACTATGCCTTTACAACTTAAGCTAGTAGTGTTGATGAAAATTAAAACTCAGCTTAAAAAAGTTATGAAAAATGGTAATAAATCATAAATAAAAAATCAGATCTCAAATAATTAAACACTGTACCTTAAAATACAGTCGTATGGAATGTTCCAAGCTCAGCCAGATGTAAACAATTTTAAATTTATCATAGATTTCAACGATAATAAAAAAATCTCAACTAATGAAAGACTTTATCGAGATGGGTTGGATAAACAAAAAAATAAAATAGAAAAGGCTGAATAATATAAACTCAAAAAATAATAGTTAGAATAATAACAAGCTACATTCTAACCTTTAATCTCTCCAAGATCAAGATAGATGGTAGAGTAAAAAAAATTAAGCAGACCTGATTGTTATATTAATGACATTGGAAGTCAATTATATCAAAAGGGTTTAGATTTGAATTCAAAGAAGGAAAAACTACGAATTTAAATATAAGAATAAGAAAGAAAATTATCTCCTTTTTAACCTAGAATTATGGAAACAAGTAGAAATCATTCTCAAAATAGATCAAATACACCAATACATGAAAAACTGTATTTTTAAGCTAAAGAAGATAAGAAAAAGAAAGAAGAATTTTTGAACAAAGAATTTTCTAAAATACATCCATTCCATCCACATTCTTAAAACAATGAAATTAAACACACTGCCGTTTAATAGAAGAAATTAGTTGATAAATTAGTTAAAGAACACGAAGAAAAATAGAAAAGAATTGAGAAAAAAAAGTAAATTTAAAAAAATATTTAATAGATAAGAATATTAGATTCAAGCTTAAAATTAAATAACTTTCAAACCAAATATCAATAAGGATGCAACATATAAGAAAGTTAGTGAGAAGAAAGAGTATGAAGACTTGGGGATTGCTTTAGATCTTCAAAGAATGCAATCAGGATCTTATAGCAAAAGTTCATTTAGTTAATGCGAAACGAGAACTTAATCTCAATAAAGTTAGTAGTCTTTATTTGATATGAACATACAAAGGATTTTTAACTAATTGGATAGCGATAAGGATGGTTATATTAGTAAAGAAAATCTCAGTCTGGATGAGTTGGATTTTGATGCACTGAAGGTAATTGAAGTTGTATTAAATTAAATTGAAGATGACGAATATACAGAGATTAATTTGAAGGGATTTAAGAAACTGTGTGAAATGCATCAATTGCATTAATAATTAAATAGTTTATGAATAATTTTGGATTATATCTATATTATCTATAAAAATTGTTATCAATATCTAATTCATCTCTATTAATAATTTAATTATGCTCTTATTTACATATAGAAGATTTTGGAGATTTGCTACCTAGAAGTATTGATGTTTGTTAATCAAGAATTTATAAAGACTCAACTAAATTAAGTGAGGATGAAATATCAAGAATACTATTTAAAGATGAAGAGGCTGTAATAAGTAATGTGAAATCGGATGTGAATAATTAAGTTACAATAGAAACTTTGTATGAGAAATCTAATATAAATGAATTATTGGATGTTATCTAAAAAAAGGCTCAATAAGAGATTACTCCAAAAGAAGAACCAAAACCATTAACTAGATAAGATTTGCCATTAAAATTTGGTTTACCAATAAAGAATGTGGGTTTAGATCTTACAGTAGAGAAAGTGGAGTAATGAATTTGTTTAAATATTAATTTGCAGACCTCCTAAGACAGTAACAATGAAGATGTTTGAAATTCTGAAATTAAATGAGCATACTTCTTATTAAGAATATGAGGGTGCAATTTAACAATTTAAGGAAGGTTTGTATGGGAATGCAGTACGACCTTTTTATGAAGTTAGAAATGAAATGAAAGAAACATTAAAAGAGGATGCTATTCCCTATGCCTTACTAAATGATAATAAATACATGGAAGAAATTAGAGAAAATAGATAATTAAATATATCGATACCTGGGACAATAGAAAATGAACATGCTCATAGATTCTTAAAATTGAGACCTGTAGAAGAATTCAGACATACTCCATTGATTCCGATTTCTGATAGGCAAATGAGAGAATATTAAGAAAAAGTCGAAGCATATCACAGAAAAGGAGTGTATTTAGAAGTCTCTAGGGAATAACTTTATTTTGCTTCATTGATTGCAGGAATTTTCTATATAATGTTTAGAATGTTTTAATGGGTTCTAAAGAAGGAAGAAGAATCTGGTTTACAATTTTAGAGACTTAAATTAAGAAGAATGGGAATGGCTTATGAGGTTGTTTGATATATAAATTATAATTAGTAATTTCTTTATGTATAAAATAACACCGCCTTCTCAGTAAACTTACAAGGGTCCTAAATTACATTAGAGTCCCATCACTTAATTGTAAAATAATGAAACCTTAACAGAAGACATCTTACAGAGTTCCTCTGAACAGTATAGGGAATAATTAGAATAGATGTTAGATCTGAAACCAAGTATAAGGGATTTTAAATAAACTTAAAACAATAATAAATAAGACTTATGGAACACAATATAATAAATTGAAAAAAGAATGCAAGAATAAGAATAAAACTTATAAAAAGTCAACAACGAATAACAAGAAGAAATTAATAAATTAAAAAGTGAAATAAAATAACAGAAACAATAATATGAGTAGGAGATAGAAGAAATTAAATACTCCTCCAGAATTCAGAGCTAAAAGCCTTAATCTTATAATTCTTATACTCCCAAAAATACTCGTGAATATAGTTATCGAAGTGTTAGCAACAATAATATTGATGATATGCAGGAAAAGATTTATTTATAATAATTGGTGTAGGAATTAAGATAACAAATCCTTGCTCTATAATAAAAAAATTACTATACTCCTAATCAAAATAATGATAATGTTTGGGAATAAAAGTTTAGGTAATTAGAAAAATAGAAAGAAACTGAATTGTCTATGAAAGATTAACATCATATAGAACGTATATGTAATCTAGAAACTTAATTGCTTAATTAAAAATAATCATATGAGAATGAGTTGTTTACAATCAGAAAGATCTTAGATGAAAAAAGTAAAGAAGACTCTCAACTTAGAAATCAGAATTAATAATTACAAAAGGATCTAAATTCTTATATCCATTAAGTAATCTCTTTATTTTTTAATTAGTTTAATTTATTATCTCAATAGAGTTAATCATAGAATCAGTAAATCTAACAGTATCAAATTTAAATATAATAATTATCCAATCAATTGCAATAGTAGCAACCAATCAATAATCAACATTAATTACTTGAGCTTGCTAATCAGCTATAAGCTTTAACATAACTTTTAGAAAAAAAGAATCAGGAATGCGAATATTATAAATAGAAGTTATTCTAAAATTAGTAGCCTTTGTAGTAGAATCAATAAATAATTACTTATCGCCAAGCTCTAACACCTACTAGACAAAATATTGTTTAAAAAACTTCTGATTCAATTGTCTTTCCTACTTTAACTAAATAATAAGTTTTATAGCAGTTTTAATGATATTAATATAAATATTAGATTTCATAAACCAAAAAAACTATTATATTTTGTTTATATGGGATCAGAACTTATATCATAAAAATAGCAATGATTAATCGTATTGTTGTTATTAATTTGACATTGCTCAGTAGTAAAGTCATATCGGCAATAAAAGATATCATTGCATAATTTTTTGCTTGTGATTTATGAACATCTAAAAGAAATAAGAAAGTTAGCTTACAAAATATTTTAACAGTAAGAATTTTACCAAGTACACTATTTGGTGGCTATACAATCATTTGGATTTGTTTAATAAGAACATTATGTACATTTTCCTGATTTTAAAAAACATCTTCTGCCATTTCTAAAACTAGGACAATCAGAATGTGTATTGAATAAACAATCTTAGTTTCTACAACTGTTAAAATCAAAAATATCTGCATTATATATATACTCTTTTTCTTTATCAGAAGCTACATTATTAACAACATATTAGCATCTTTATATAATATTATTTTAATACCTATCTCTAGTATAGGAGTTTCTACACTATTTGAAGTCAGTGATTTAAGAACATTTCTCTATAGTGTAACAACGGCCATATTTCCAGGCACATAATTAAGGGTTACCTTTTTAATAGCTGCACTCAGAATAATTATCAATATCTTCGCAAATTTTTTCTCCTTCTTTTCTTATTTTAACATAATGTTTAATACTATATTTTTTTCATGCAAGCTCCATTTTACCAATAACAGATAAAATTATAATATGAAGGAGAATGCGAACATTCCTATTCATTTAAGTATTAGTAACAAGAATCATATCGTGCACTATTGCAAGACTAATACCATGAACATATTATAAAAGGGTTGTCAGTATTTTCACATTATTCTTTAGTTTAAAGGTTAACGCAAGATTACTGTTTTAACACACATTCAGTTCCACTTATTATGACAATTGAAAGAACAAAAATTTATATCCTCATTTAATTACTCATATAATTCTCTTAGAAAAAGATTATAATTATTTCATTTATGAATCAATGTTGATTGCAAGTCTATGTTGATTTCTATTTTTTAAATATTTATTACAATTAAATATAATGGAAGAATAGGTGTAATGTTAACATTGTAAAACTTTGACAAGCAACTAATGGACAAAAATTTTAATACAAATAGAATTAAGTTATGAGAAATGAGAAATGTTTACAATCATAGACAAAAAAAGAAGAGGAAGAAGTTAAGCAATTAGAAAATAAAATTAATATTAGAAATTTATTTAAGTTAAGTAAGAGATCAAAATAAATAAAATGGAAAACAAACAATTGAAAAGAAAAACAATATTAAAAAAGAATTATGTATAACTGCATTTATTAATGAGTATAGAAAAAATTAGATAAAGAAATTTAATAATTAGACTCAGATGAATAGAAATAAAAGGATGAATTGAAAAAAATAAAAAAAAGATTCTCGAGCAAGAGTACAATGAAGTTAATTTATGGGAAGATATAAATAAATTCGCTAGAAAATTTTATCCTCTATTTGAATCAAATTAAATTGCTGATAATAAATCATTCAAACTAAAAAATGAATGAGATCGACTAAGTAAAGTACATAAAATTAAATATTATTAATTAGATGTTTTAAATGATTTGTTTAAGATGAAGTAGCTACTATAAATGGATTGCATTTTGGTAAGAAGGGTGAATAACCAGTTAATTGGAATGATATACTAAATTGATGAATAGATCTTAATTATTTTATTAATTTTTTTTTAAAGAATGTTTTATGTTGTAATTAGACAAATAGGTGAATAAAGTAGGTAATAACATATAAATTTAAATTCAAGAATGAGATAATCATCTAATCCTTAATAGAGTTTTCTATTTTTATTTTATAATTATTAGTCACAATCCTATTAATTTTATGCTGAATCCTAAAAGTCATGCTAAGTCAAGCATACTTAAATAAAGGATCTATATCCATTTAAAAATATAGGTTTAGAACAAAAAGTAAAATATAATCTAAACATGCCCACATCAACTCACCAAATTGATATCTAACAATTTTACCAAAACAATTCTATAAAGATTCTTATTTAAGTTATAAATCTAACGTTTATATATATTCTTTATCGTCTTCCAAAACTTATTATCTATAGATTTCAATAATAATGTTAATAACTAACTAAATTCAATAATGAGAAATGGAATGAGAATTAATTTTATAATTGTTAATAATATTATTTCAATATTATTAATTTAAAATGCTTCAAAAGCTAATTAGGGTTCATCGTTTTTATGTGAGCTGTAAATAAATAAAATAGAGATATAAGCAAAAACATAAAAAATAATTCCAGCAACACAGTAAGAGACAAAAAAACTTTTAATAAAGATTCTTAGTAGTTTTATTTTTCCTGAAGTTAATCAATTAGAAGGTAATTATTGATAATTTCTGCTTTCTGTCCAACTGTTGTTATAATTTTCTTTAAATTAGTGAAATTATAAAAGAAATGAAGCCATATACTATAAAAACAATGCTAATTATAAAGATAGTTTTTGAGTCAAAATAATTAGAATGCTAATAGCCAATAATCTATTTTATTGATAATTTCTGTTCACTTTCTATCTAAACATGATTTTACAATTATTAGCATAAAGTATACCTAAGAAACCATTTCCAAAAATCCTAAAATAGCTATGATAGGTATGATCCATATAACAAGTTTTAGATAATCATCTTTTTTTTATAAATGATTATAAAGCTAAAGATAGTTATAAACAATTATACTTAAATCCTAGAACTGTTAGGGCTAATCCTATGAAAATTAATTTAGAATTGTAAAAGTCAGACAAAACTCTAACTATAAAGGGTTTCTGTAGAGCTTTCATTACATTTTATAATCGTTATTTTTCAGTTGGTGCACAAACATTAATAAAGGGAATAGTATTATAATAAAGAACATTATATTTAGGGTGATCAGGTTAAATTCGAACATCTCATGAAGCTTTTTAATTTGGATGGCATTCTAATCCAATTGAACCTCTTAAATTATATTCAAATCTATTACCATCCCTTTCTTAAATTTTATTTTCAACTTGAGGAGACATAAAGTTCTATATAAGAACTATCATTATCTGGATTAACAAAATATGCAAATTTATACTCTTCTTTTCCTGTACCTGCACCAAAAGGAGAATCTTCATATTTTATTATTAGATACTATCAATGTCAAAAGGTTATCCAAGCTCTTTAGGATTTCCAAATGCAAAACAATACACTAATACACATAGAAAATTATTTAAAATATCTAAAACAACCTTCATTCCATTCTTTTTATTTTTTTATTTCTAAGAAGGTTTATTATTGGAGTTTTAATCTATTTCTTAGAGAAAAATTAAGCGAGAATTTTCATCTAGATTAATCATTATTTAAATTATGAATTTTAAGTAATCTAACCTACTTGTTTTTCTTTTAATTAAAATAATTATATGAGGGTTCTATATTCAAAGATGAGCAAGCAATATTTTGTATGCATATATGTAAAATTAATTAAATTTTAAAATTTCTTTGTATTTCTATTAAATTAAANTGTCCAACTGTTGTTATAATTTTCTTTAAATTAGTGAAATTATAAAAGAAATGAAGCCATATACTATAAAAACAATGCTAATTATAAAGATAGTTTTTGAGTCAAAATAATTAGAATGCTAATAGCCAATAATCTATTTTATTGATAATTTCTGTTCACTTTCTATCTAAACATGATTTTACAATTATTAGCATAAAGTATACCTAAGAAACCATTTCCAAAAATCCTAAAATAGCTATGATAGGTATGATCCATATAACAAGTTTTAGATAATCATCTTTTTTTTATAAATGATTATAAAGCTAAAGATAGTTATAAACAATTATACTTAAATCCTAGAACTGTTAGGGCTAATCCTATGAAAATTAATTTAGAATTGTAAAAGTCAGACAAAACTCTAACTATAAAGGGTTTCTGTAGAGCTTTCATTACATTTTATAATCGTTATTTTTCAGTTGGTGCACAAACATTAATAAAGGGAATAGTATTATAATAAAGAACATTATATTTAGGGTGATCAGGTTAAATTCGAACATCTCATGAAGCTTTTTAATTTGGATGGCATTCTAATCCAATTGAACCTCTTAAATTATATTCAAATCTATTACCATCCCTTTCTTAAATTTTATTTTCAACTTGAGGAGACATAAAGTTCTATATAAGAACTATCATTATCTGGATTAACAAAATATGCAAATTTATACTCTTCTTTTCCTGTACCTGCACCAAAAGGAGAATCTTCATATTTTATTATTAGATACTATCAATGTCAAAAGGTTATCCAAGCTCTTTAGGATTTCCAAATGCAAAACAATACACTAATACACATAGAAAATTATTTAAAATATCTAAAACAACCTTCATTCCATTCTTTTTATTTTTTTATTTCTAAGAAGGTTTATTATTGGAGTTTTAATCTATTTCTTAGAGAAAAATTAAGCGAGAATTTTCATCTAGATTAATCATTATTTAAATTATGAATTTTAAGTAATCTAACCTACTTGTTTTTCTTTTAATTAAAATAATTATATGAGGGTTCTATATTCAAAGATGAGCAAGCAATATTTTGTATGCATATATGTAAAATTAATTAAATTTTAAAATTTCTTTGTATTTCTATTAAATTAAAACTAAAAATCTTGAAGTTTTATATATTTTATGGTGATAAGAGAAAAATTAGAAATATATTTTTTTAACAAAATTTTAAATGTTTATCAAAGAAATGAAAATAACTATTGGAATTGCATATATTTAAATCTGAAGATATTTCTCTATCTCTAAATAATTTTTATTAAAAAGTTTCTAAATGATCTAACAAGATTTGCAGTAAGACAAATAGCTGAAAATATTGCTATTATCAGATATCTCAGTTAAGACAACTGTTTAAGCAAGATGGTTTGAGAAAATAGTGCCCTTAAGAAATAATTTAGCATTCATTTATTATGAAGGAGGACATTATGAAGTATATGATATCGAAAAACAATAAATAACTATTGATGGAAGACTTCCTGAGAAAATCAAATTTTTCTTAGAGATATATACCAAGTTTTCAAATATATAAATTATAGAGTATTGGTATATCATGATCCAACAGATCTCAAAATGAAAATGTTAGATTTGAATACAAACAAACCTGTTGCAAATTTTTCTTTTAGATCTAGTGAGAAAGTGGATTTAAAGAGTGATGAAGCAAGTAAAGAGATAATCGTTGATAGTAAATAAATATTAAATAATATGATAGAATTTCGAATATTTTCTCTTGATTGTGAAGAGAAATAAATAAAATACTTGATTTCACAAGATTTAGAAAAATATTATTCAAATAACAATGTTGCTCATTACTCAATTAGAATTTTACCTTTGAATTATTCTCCTGACATATAATTCAACCTTGAAGTAGTGGCAAAATATGATTATCCCAACAGTTAAGGTTAGACAGAACTTTATTTTTGGTAAGTAGACAAAGAAACCATGGCTGTCTTTGGTTAAGATACTGATTAAAATAAATTTGAAATATTATTGATCAAACCTCATCTTTAGGAGAAGGCATTTTATATTGTCCATGTTAAATTCTAACACTCATTTACAGTTTTGAATGTTTCAAATTGGATCAATCCTCATTAAGTTGCTATTTGGACTAATTGTAATGATGGATCAACGAAACCTAGTATAATAACTTTTGATTTAAGAAATTATTATGATGGATACAATTGGCTTCCGGAACCTGAATTTGTAGCTACTATAGTAATGAATTAAGTTTATACATCTTTAGGCTAGAGGAGAACATATTGCTGATGAATCTGCAGTTTTCATGGATATTTATCAATTTAACTTAGGGTCTACTCATATTATTCAAATAAGATAAACTGGAAATGAATCAAGGATATCTATCATAAACTTTTAAAATGTTTAAAAACCAGAAATTATTAGTGAAGTTACAATAAATACATTTTGGAATGAAAAAGCTTCTGACCATTCTTACATGGTGCTTTATAATGAATTAACGTAAAGATTTATATTATTATTTAAAGAATGGAAGATTAAACAGTTAAATTCTAAGTACTATTTCCAGCGGATGCCAGACATTAATTATTGTAAATTATAGAAAAAGCCAAAGTTATTGAAAAATATGGAATCAGCAATGTCGAAGAAATGTTTGAATTTTATTAATGAATTAAACAATAATTATTCATTATTTATCTGTTCGATATTATATGATACTATAAGATTCATGATTTAAAAGAATATTTATAAATACCACAATAAGATAATAAGTATTAAAAAAAAAAGTAATAGAAATCGATTAATGTTTAATTTCTAGAATGACGATTTAGAATTAAATAAATATTGTCTATCAATAAAGTGCTATAAAGAAAAATAGAGTTAATTTATACTTTATTTTAAATTTATCTTATTTTTCAGTTTAAATCTGGATATGGGTGTTTAGAATTAAACTTTACAGCAGTCTCTATTTCTTTCATAACTCTTAAAACCATTTCATCTTAGTTTGGTAAAGCTGCAACTTGAACATTAACAGGTAGCCCTATAGCTCCTTATAAATCATTTTTCATAAAACGATAAATGACATCCCATGAATTTTATTTTCCTGGGATTTCTAAGTCTTGATCATTTTAAACAGTTGTGATTGGAAGACTGCCAGCAGGAAAATCTAAAACATTCCACATCAAGTATATAATCTATAATTAAATAATGTATATACGCAGCAGATGCTAATTCTTTAGAATTTCCATGTTTAACTGCTGGTAAACCAAAAGCAGGAGAGATTATTACATCTATTCCTTGATCAACTATAGCTTAACAAAATTATAAATTAGTCTATTTTCTAAGACCAGAATCAACCAAATATTAATATACATCTACTTTTGAATTATTATTATATTCTAGTAGTGTATTTTATCTAAATAATTTTAAAAATGGTTATAAAATAAATTTTTTAAATCTTAGTGATCTATTTGAATTAAAAACTAATAAATCATATTCTTAAATAAAATTTTAACCATTTAAAGCTTGAATATAAGATTTCATTCCACCATCAGCGACTAGTATTTTTAAAAAACAATTAGCTATAAAGCTTTGTAATTTTTTATCTACTTTAAATTCAACAATTTCATGTCCTAAATCTTTCAATATTTAACAAGTTTCTTTAACTGCTCTACTCATACAATTTGGAGCTACTAAATCATTAAAAATATCAAAATATCCAACTCTTAATTATTTTTTTTTTGGAAATTCTCCTAATTCTTAAGGTTGAAAATAAGGATCTTTAATAGATTAAGGAATTTTAGAGTAAATTTCTTTATCAAATAAAATCTTTGTTAAAACAATTAAATCATCAACACATCTAGCAATAGGTCCTCTAGAGATCTTAAGTTACATAAGTCCTGCTGTTGCAATTGAAATCTTTGCCTCTCCATAATCTGGAATCCTTCCAGTATAAGGTTTAAATCCATATACACCACAAAATGCTGCTGGTATACGAATACTTCCTCCTATATCTGATCCAATTCCTAAAACACTTCCTCTTGCAGCTGCTAAAGCTCCTTCTCCTCCAGAAGATCCTCCTACAGCCCTATTAATATTCCATGGATTTCTTGTTCTTCCATAAATATGATTAAATGATTCAAATGTCATCGCAACTTAAGGAACATTTGTTCTAGCTATTATTATACCTCTTGCTTATCTTATTTAAGCAACCTATATTCCATCTTCTTATGCAGCCTTAAAACAGTTTGCTCCTAATCCAAATGTCTAATCAAAATTTCTCTATATAAATGTTTCCTTTACTGATACTGGAATACCAAATAAACCATATTAATTTATTACATTTCTATCTTTTTTTATCTCCTCATCTTGTTTTCTATTTCAATATTACTTAATTTTACTTTGCTTCTTCTAATGCCTCATCAAAATTTATTTCTGTCACTATATTCAGTTTGTCTGAGCAACTGTTTCAAAAACAGTTGTTCGTCCATCATATAATAGTTATTTTATTTATGCTACATTACCATTTAATATTTAATTTTAAATATCTTCACTTAATTAACATTCTTAAGGATTTTATTTATAATTATTTATAGCCTCAATTGCTCTTTTTCTTTTTTCCAAACATATTTTTTCCATTTTTTTGTGTTTTAGATAATTACTTATTTTACCTAATGTCCAAATTCCAAATCCACTAGAAAGAACAATTAAAATTGATCCTCTTATAATGTCTCTCTAATTCAACTTTTAGATTCTTTAAAAATTCATTTTTAAATTAAATATTAAATTTATAAATACATCTCAAGAACATTAACTATTATTTATTTCTTATAAATTTATTTTTAATTCAAAATTATATACTCATGATTATAAAATTCATATCATTTTGATTTATTAAAATATGTCATCACATTTTGATAGTAGATTATGCACAAATCCTAGAAAAATGTATAATTTAAAAAATAAATATATTCCAATTATCTTGGAGACAGATTTATTTCTGAAAATTTGATAGCTTATTCATAATCTACTTTTTCACATTAACCAGGTTTTAAATGCTTCTTCTTCAAAGTTAACTATTAAATTGCATCATTAATTGAAAATTGTGATTTTTCGAAAATTAATTTTAATTCATTCTCTATAGTATTTATCTCTCTTTTTGTAAATAATTCATATTTTCCAATTAATTGCTTGAAAACACTTAGTACAATTGAAACATCATTACTTCTTAAAGCATCATATACAACATAATCTTCATTATTATCTTCTACTAAATATCTTGCAATCAACTTTCTCTATTCATAACTCTAAATTTTAAAAGGTTCCTAAAGTAAAAAATCTAATAATTCATGAATTTTTATTTATTATTCATATTTTTCAAATAGCATTTCAATATCTTAAATTGAAACTTCTTTACTTAACAATTTAAATCTTATTTCCAAACCAAAATGGGCCACATCATATTAATTTACTCTAATTATCTTTTTTTATTTTATATTGCTTTATTAAATTTATTTATCACTCTCTTCTATTTCATTACAATATTTTGTAAACTCAGTATTCTAAATTTTAGATAAATCCTATTGTATACTCTATTTATATTGTTAACTAGATTATCTTAAAACAGAATAATTTTATTATTATTAAGATATTCCTGAATTATTTAAAGATATTTTTAATTTTCTAGTTGAATCCTGTCTAGAATCTATTTTTTAAAATTCAAGCATTGAAATCTTTTATTCATAAGAAATTTATTAATATCTTTCTAATTATTTTTTTAATTCTCCTTATTCAAACAATTATTATTTCAAATCATTTATTTCTTAATCTTTATCTTAAATATCAGATGAATAACGTAATTCCAAATTTTTCAACTATTCTTATAATTAAGCATTCTCAACAGATTCTCTAAAGATTTATTATCTTGTTTTAGTGATTGTAGTTTAAAATTATTAGTTCTCCTCTAATTATTTTTATACAGAAATTAATCGTCTAATTTCTTTGTCTTTTATTATCAATTAAGTTTTCAAGGATTCAATTTATCCAGTTAAAAAATATCTTTCTGTTTTCATATTTGTATTCTCTAATTTAAGATCATGATTTTTTTTTGTTATTTTCTAAATTATCTTTTCTTGTTTCAAATATAGATCTTCTATTCTAAATGTTTAATTTTCTTATAATTATTCTTTTAAATCTTTTATCTGCAATTCATATAAAAGTGCTTATTATTAGTAATTCATTAATTCAGCCTAAGATCATAAAATCAATCTTACGTGCATTTCTTAATATTTAGTAACATTAATCATCTTTTTATATTCTTCTATTTATTTAATTTTATCACTTAAATCTGATTCTAACTTTTTCAGTTATTGTTTTAGAGAAATTAAAAATGTTTTGCTATTATCAAACATAAGATTTTGGGCCGAGTCTCTCTATTCTTAAATCAATCAATACTTAAAGTTATTGATATTTTAATTTCCAAACTTAGACTTCATCCTATAAAGAGTTAATTTAAGTTTTCAATTGATTATTCTAATGACTCAAAGTTTCTGGTTCAATCTTATTCGGATTAATTAAATTATTATGAGATTTATGATTTTTGTTCGATTATATTCTAATAATTTTTACATTATCCTAACTAGAGACTTTTGTACTTATACTGTAATATTTATGAGACATCAAAATTTAATAATTATTATACAAATTATTTATAAATCAATCTAATTCATTTAATATTCTATTGTTTTTTATTTATATTAATTCTAGGTTCTGCTAAGCAATTTTTTATGATTACATATTTTATTGGATCAACAATAAATAATTCCAAAATCAATGCAGGTATATAATACTGCAAACATATTAAATTATTAGGTTAGTAGAATAGGATTCCTAATATTAATATTGATAATGCACAAGTCCAAATTACATAGTTAATTAATTTAAGAAGAAAACCACTTCCATTTTTACATAATGACTTTACTACATAATAATCATATATTTTGAATATCAAGTATCCTCCACATGAAGATCCAATGATATAATAGGATTGTAATGGCTCTATAAAAAGAAATAATGCTCCACAAATTTCAAAACAAAGAATTTGTCGAAAATAAATTTATGAAAGCATAAAAATTCTGGACAATCCAATTTTATGACTGTAAAAGATTTTAGCAAAAGAATTACATTTCTAAAATTAAAGAAAATCTATATACATAATAGTCTTTAGATGGCTTTGGAATCTTACCATTCTAAAAAGTATGTAAATTTCCATTTGTCTAAAAACTTGAGATAGAATGTCTTTTAGGTTGATTGAGAGGTTTTTAATCTGGAGTTTATCCAAAAATACTATTTCTTTCACTATTATTTGCTGATTATCTAGATCTCAAACTCTTTCGATTTGTAGATTAAACTGTTTCGATTCCTTCAAGTATACTTATTATGGGTTTTCTTGAAAATATTGTTTAACCTGATGTTTAATTCTATTATTTTATAACCTGAATAGGTGTTTCTTTTTATATTGTCTCTTGTGAAGGTGATTCATTTTTAATAATAAATCCATTCTCTTTATCTTTCTATTAAATATTTTATTATTAGAACTAGTTTTCATTGCTAATTAAATCTTTGACAAATTTAGTTATTTTTTTCTACTAAGATGGTTATGATGGCTTCTATACATTAGAAATTATCATATTATTTAGAAGAATCACACTATCTTAAGGGGTTTAACTTTTAATCTCTGGAGTAATTGTTGCTAATTTATATTTTTTTTCTAAGAAATAACCTATCAAGATCAAAATTAGAAAAAGGAAAGTCCATAAAGCAAAAAATACTATTATTAATAAATTATGAATCATTATTATAATTAATTTTTTATTAAAAATTTTTATAAAAAATCACTAGTTTGTATCTATAGGAGCACTCTTTAACTTAGTGAGCGGAAATTTAAAACAGTTTGATGATAATTTCTCTAAAAATAATTAAATAATAAGAGAGCATATAAAAGATATTAGAATAGTGATATATTCTAACTCAAGAAATTCATCTAGTCCAGAGTAAATAGGGAATATCATCGTAATTCCATATAAAATTAAACAAAATCTACTCATAATTCTAAATTAAAGTGTTGTTGATAAAAAAATCTTTTCATATGGAATGCAAAAAACTATATTGAAAATTATTACACTAATTAGAGCACTTATACTTCCTTAAATAAGAAATATTGGGAAATTTATTTTTTTTGATGTTTCTTAAAGATAAATTCGAGCTAAAACAGCTTCAATAAATATAGAGCACGAAATAAGCAAGTAAATTGTTTAGATCCATTCATAATTTGCCATAATATTTTATTGAGCAATTTATATTTAACTATTTTTATCAGTTTAACATGCCTCTTTTTCATTTATTTATACTATTTATAAAGTTTATTAGTTCTAATTAGTTGAAATGGAAGCTTTTTAGTAATTTTCTTCCTATATATCTATTGGTGTTTATTAAACACCTGAATTTTAATTATTAATTTATTAGTTATTTGTTTTATTTTTTTGATTGTCTTATTCTATTTGAAAATTTAACTATTCATTGATATCATTACTTAATTTCTTGTCTTACTTGTCATAATGTATCTTTTTTTCAGAAGTTTATTAAATTAAATTTCTTTGGCTGCTGCTCATATTTTTATTTTAGTTTATGATTTAGGAACCCTGATTAAGTATTAATTAATCAGATACCAAATATTTTAGTTCTTATTAATCATTTTGTGTAATTTATTGTTACTTATTTTATTCTAAATTGTTAGTTTAATTTATTTAATTGTCTTTGCCTTTATTAAAAAATCATTATTACTCTCTTATTTTTTGAGGCTACTGCTTTTCTGATTTTGGCTTGAATTGAGTTTCAAATAAAAATAAATGGAAATACAAATAAACAAGAATCCAATGCTTGAAATGAGAACTATGATTGGCCATAACATTTTTGAAAGATGTAATTAATAAATAAATTAAGACAAGGAAATCTTTTTTGAAATAAAATAATAGATAATGCGTATGATTAAGATTAATAATAAAAATTTATCACTTGTTTAAACATTTAATAACTTCTTTTGTAAATTATTCAGTGCTAGAATAACCACCAATATCTTTAGTTTTAATCTATAATAAAATATAAAGATACATTTCTATTTTAAATAGTTTCTTAGACAGCACTACATATTTAATCAGCAAAATTTGGCAATCCTAAATGTCTCAATAATAAGGTAGAAGAGACAAGCATAGCAGAAGGATTAACAATATTTTTTCCTGCAATATCTCTACCTGTATGTCTACAACCTTATGAAAAAAGAGCATGATCTTTTCCAATTGATGCTCCTGCAGCCATTCCTACTCCTCCAGTAATTCCAGCTACTACATTTTATACAATTGATCCATATAAATTAGGCATTACCATTACATCAAATTATGTTGGATTTTTTACTAATTGCATACAACAATTATCAATTATCATTTCTTCATATTTTATAAAAGGATATTTTTAAGCTACTTCTCTATGAGCTTATAAAAATAATCCATCAACTAATTTCATTATGTTTGCTTTATGAACTGCAGTTACCTTCTTTCTTCCACTTAAATGAGCAAATTCAAAAGCATATTCAGCAAGCCTTAAAGATGCTTATTTTGTTGTTACTTTTATTGATTCTACAACTCCAGGATAAACTTCATGTTCTACTCCTGAATATTCTCCTATTATTCTAAATATCATTATTATACCTTCTGTATTCTCTCTGATTACAACAATGTCTGTATTATTATGTCTCTATTTTATTCCTTCTACTGAAAATGCAAATGTTATATTAGCATATAAATCTAAATATTTATAAAATCTGTAATTATCTGTATATTTTTAATTTTTTTCAGTCATAACACCTAATAATATACATTCATTTCTTTTTAATAAATTTCTTTATTCATCATTATCAAAATTAAAATTATCTAAAACATCAAATTTTATTGGAACATGCAGAGCATCAAAAACTTACATGACACTTCCTTTATTAATATTAAAATTATACTAGTAATTTCAGGACCTATGCCATCTCCTGGAAGCATTGTAACATTTTTTAATTATCCTTCTCCTGGTCTTTATAAATAATTTTAAGACCATGCTCCTCTTAATTATAAATTAGATCTGAATACTTATCTTACACAATTTTTCATAAATTAATTTTAATAAATTATTATAGTAATTCTTAATTTATTATCTCAATCATATTTTTTAAAATCTACATGATATAATTCTCTATAAACATCTTATATTGATTTATCCATTGTAGATATAAGATGTCCTGAACCTTAATGCAATATAGGAACCTTAAATATATACAATTATCATAAAATACTTTAGGATTCTTATCTTTAACAACATTACATTTTTTTAATATTATTTTTGAAGTCTCAACTGGATTAAATGTCTCCATTTCATTTCCTTATTTTTTATCCTTCTCACTTCCCACATCTTCAAGTCTTGTTGGTCCCTCTTAAGACTATAATCTCTATTTCTCAGATGATTATAATGGTTGTTTTTTTCTACTTTCCTCTTAAGTATGTAATAATGGTTGAGATCTTGCATGTTCCATCAATGTTACTTTTCATAATATAAAAACAATTTACATGGTAAATTATTAAACATTGTTTGAGCTGCCTAAAAATGAGTTTTATTATGTAATGAAGGCAATAAATTTTTAGCAATCAATCTTGATAAATATGCTCTTCTTTCTAATGCTGACATTCCTTCTGAAAAGTTCTCTAAACTAATTATTTTTTTATGATCTATTTTCATATTCTCTACTTATGATTATGTATGATCTTTCAAAAATTATTCTATTCTAGCTAAAGCAGTTTTATCTCGATATCTAAAAATGTCTCTTTTTATATCTTTTGTTGGATCCCTTTCTCTAAATGAATGCTTTCCCATTGTTAAATTTGGAAGGAAATCCAAATCCTTATTCTTTTCTTAAGCTTCTAAAATTCTCTCCTTTTCATGTTTAAAACCTTTAACATAAATTTAAGGATCTCCCAAATTTTTTGTTGGATCCTCATCCCTAAACTTATAACTTTCAGGAGGTTTATATTCATTACAAACTACAGGGTTTTCTAACATATTTATAACAAAGTTCTCAACTCTTTTTTTATAATTCTTAGATAATCTTTAATTCATATCTATTTTATATTTCTTCTCATACCTTTTCTACGTTATCTTTCTGTTATATAATCTTTCTTTATTTTATCAATTTCTTTTGTAAATGTTAGTTACTTATCATATTGATATCCATTAAACATTAATTTGTAATTATTTTATTTAATTCAATATAATTTATTAAATATTAATAACTCTTTATTGGAAACTTCAATTTTTAATACATAATCATATATTATGAGTATTAGCAGCAGTTATATTTATTTTAATAATAAGAATTTTATAGGAATTTATTGATGCTTTTATAATGATTAAATTCAGATTATGAAATATTATTTTATTTAACTTCATTCACAATTATATTAATTTATGCTGATTGAAAATTTAGCAAATGAACTACAATGCTCAATTTGGTAAGTTATGATAAATATTATTTAAGCTTAAGTTTATTTAGTATTCCGTTTGTAATTCCTTGTGGACATACTTTTTGCCGCGATTGCATTCAAAATTATGGAAAAACCTCTAAAGCCTCTAAATGCCCGCTTTGTAAATAGCCTTTTAATCTTTCAAAAATAAATCTCAATATTTCATTGTAAGCTGTCTTGAATATTATGGATCAAGATAATACTAAGGTCAAAGGAGATGTAAGTAGAAAAAAATCAAAATCCACCAATTTTTTTATATGCACTTCAAATTTATCTGATGAATATAAGGTAATACAAAAAGAAATTAATATAAGGAATACTTCGAAAGGTTTTAGAAACAGTTCAAATTAAAATCAAATTCAAATATGAATTCTAAGATTACACACCTTATATCAGGGCCTGACGATCCAAATAAACCATTTATAGCAAGAAGAACTTTAAAATATTTAGAAGCATTAGCTCGAGGGATTTGGATTGTAAATATAGATTGGGTGATTGAAAGTCTGAAATGTGATACAATATTAAATGAAGAAGATTTCGAAATTAAAGGAGATGAATTTCCAACTTTAACTCCAAAAATATCAAGAACTAGAGGTGGAATGTAAGATTTCCTTAGAGATTATGAATTCAGTATAGAAATAGGAAATATAAATAAAACAATAATAAATTAAGAGTATATAGAAACTTTAATATCGCTTTGTGGAGGTAACATAGTAAGTTAAAAGGAGAAGACTTAAAATACTATTATAATAAAAATAGTTTAAGACCCTCAAATAAATTATACTCGTATTGAGTGTATACCAATGATAGTCAATTAAAAATGGCTGTTTGACAGTATTAGTAAATTCAATATGCAAAATTATTTTGGTTATTTAATAAGCAATTGAATCTAATTAATAAAATTTACGTTTTTATTGTATTATAAATATAATTTATATGTTTACAGATTTGTCGGTATACATAATAGTATCAATATTCTGTGTCTTAGCCATGGCTCTATTTCTATTTGGATTTTTAGGAACAGTAAAACTCAATTGAATAATTATATAGAATTTTTCAATAAAGCAAGAGGATGATTATTAGAATTTAATAATAGATTATGGAAACTTGTATGATGAATAAGAGATAGGTGAATAAAATTGGAAATAAGAATTACCTGCTTATATGGCAACCTATTTATAAACAATAGAAATAACAATGAAAGAATTGTACTTGAATCAATTAATTATAACAATAATAACAAGTGCAGGTTTTTTGTTGATTATAGCAGTATTTATATAGTAAAACTAGTTTAGTCTTGGTTAACTCCTTCAGGAACATTTTGGGGATTTTTTATTAGTTTTTTATGGGGCACAATAATAACATGCATCATAGCATATTTGATAATTTCAGTTAAAATAGGTACATTATTAAAAATTCCATTGAAAGCAAACATAGGAAAGGTGATAATAATTTTTATATTTAGGAAGATGTTTTAAAATGGATATATGGAAATGGATTTTTTACAGCATTGTTTATAGGAGGAATAATAACTTTGAATTCTTTATTTATCGTATTGATTATGAAAGCAATGTCAGTTACATCAACAAAGCCAGAGAATTATGCAATAATGATAAGTGGTTTTCCTTTAGGAATGCTTATATCTGGAATATATTTTAGAGAAGGTATGTCAGTTACTGGAAGAGGAATATAAGCAGCCTGTGATTTAATGATAAAAAAAGAATAATTTTTTGGTGATGTAGGAAATAATTTATCATATACTACTAAAATTGCAGCTGGTATGTCCTCTTTATTAGCTGAAGTTAATTTTTTTGATTCAATGTTAGTATTATCATTATTTGTTTCAATGCCATCAATAGTATTAGTAAATTCAGTAGATTATCATTATTCAGATAATTTTATTGGCAAAATGTTTGGAATTTAATTAGTTTTTATTATAAGTTGGGTTGGTTAATTATTAATATCATTTTTAAGTCATATTCTCAAAAATGATGATGCAGTTGCTTTTACTGCAAATAATGTAAGATGTTAAATTCTAATGTCAATATTTTTAAGTTTATGTTTTGTAATATTTTCCTTATTATCATTACCAAAAGAATTCGAATTTGGAGATAAAGATCATAAATAAATATATAGAGAAAAAGTTTTAAATAGAGATTTTATGGGATGTGGTTTTATTGGAATTGTTGTTTCAGCTATTCTCATTATATATTATGAATATCTAACAAGTCATGGATATTAAGTAGCATAAAAAGTAGCACTTGTTGCATACAAAGCACCTACTCTTAATATTATATAAGCATATTCTATAGGAAATATTGGATAAATTGTACCAGCTCTTTTAATTGCTCTTTCACTTTTTATCTCCTATAAATTAGCATCCTTAGTAGGTATTCTAGGATTATTTTTGGGATATATTTTAAACATTTATATATTGATGGGAATATCAATGCTTGGTACTTTATCTGGAGATGGACTTAAAATATCATTTTTAGCTTAATTCACTAATAATATTAAAGATCGTTTACATTCCATAACATGGGCTGCTAAAAACTATATTGTTTGGTTAAAAATTACAAATGCAGGTGGTCTTACCATTGCTGCTATTTTAATTATTGGAACTGCTATATACTTTACTAAGACATTTATTTTGTTACTAAATGGTTATAATCTTTTTGGTTTCTTAATTGGATTTGGATTAGCTTATTACAATAAAGGACTTACAATCTTTATTGTTAAGACCATTTGTGAAGAAGCTGTAAATATTTTATAATTAAACTTAGTTATATGATGAAAAATCATTTCAATTAAGAAAAAATAAACCAGATGAAGAAATTGCTCTTGAAAATTTTTCATATACTTACTTTCCATTAAAAAACAGACAAGGAAATTATTATGTACTTGTCAATTTATTATCAGTATCTTTTTCTATTAATAATAGTGTACAATAGCTGTTTTATTTACTGGAATCATTTTTGGTCACGGAGCTTCTATTTCATTGGCTATTTCAAACTTATTCATTAATGCTATAATGATGTTCCAATCCATACTTACTGGAACAGTCTTAAAAAATGCTTTCATCTATAATTCATGTAAACTATATATTTCATATATAGATGATTAATAATAATAAGAAACTTCATAAGTATTGAGTGTCAATCTGTATGGAGATATTCAAGGATAAACTATTGAAGAAAGTTAAAACATTTAAAATCCATATTATATGATCTACATTATGTTAATCACTTTAGTTGGTATTGAATTATTCAAGCATGATTATTGAAATTATTATTAAGTATAAATATAAAATTATTAGTTTTATTATTTTTATTTTTAAGACTTATTAAATTGTAATTTTATTTATTATCACTTATCTCAACCTACTTACTTTCATTTATTGCTATTAATTCTAATTTACATTTATAACAAACTTATCTTAGTAAAGTATTCATCTTAATCAGTATAATATATCTTAAATTTTGCCCTAAGATAATTACATTAAACATATATATTTACTGAGGTTTTTCTTTTTTTACTTATAATGCTCCTTAATCGATACAATACTCAATTCAGTTAGAATTAGACCTTTATAAAATTCAATTATAATATACTAATATACTCATTTTAAAAAAAATTAATTTTTATTTATTTATTATTAAGTGATAAGTAATAGCATTACTAATTTATGATTAAGAAGAAATGAGTTTAATACAAGATTATATTATAATTACAAAAAGAAGCTTCTCAAAATTTGTATAACACTTATAAACTATTTAAAATTTTTTAACATAAGCTTGATTATTAAAATTAAAGAAAACCTTATTTAAACTGATTTAGAATTCTTTAATTTGTCTATAGATTGTAACATATAAATTCATAATGTAGCATAAATTCTAATTCTTAAAACCAACTTGAATAATAATGATATTTCTTTCCAAAATTTGTGTTTTGTTATAATAAAATCAAGATTTTAACACTTATCCTTATTTTCAGACTGTATAAAATATGGAATTGTCACCAAAAGCTTAGTTAAATAATTTTAAGAAAAAAGGCATGAGCATTTAAACAATACAATCAACAGAACCAACACCTAAGAAACAAATTTCACCATAACATTCTGAAAATTTCTTCAAATAAAGTGAATCATCTTAATGTATTTATTTTTTAATATTTAAAGCCATGACTATGATCATCAATAAGGAAAAATAAAGAAGAATCAAATAATTACTTGAAGAAAATTTAAAGTTATTAGAGCAATGTTCAGAGAAAGATTTATAAATTGGCAGATTATACACAAAAATAGAGAAAGATATGGTTTTAAGGACTTAGAGAGTTTAAACTCTCAATAATTTATAATCTCTTGAAAAAAAGAAATATTTTTTCAATAACTAAAAACAATAAATTTTTTCGGATTTGCGACAAAAAGAAGAAAAACAACTTTTCACTTTTTATAGTCCAGAACCAAAATAAAATTCGTAAACATTCAAACTCCCTAAAGTTTTCAAAGCCTTTCCAAAGTAAAATAAATATTTTATCTGATATGTCATTTCATATAATAACGACTTGAATAATAATATCGTTTAAAACTTAATAACTAAAATTTATTATTTTTTTTTGGTTCAGTTGAAAGGTTTGTTGATATCGATAGGTTTTTATAAGTTCTTAATCTCTTGGATTCATCCTTTAATTTTCAAATAAGAATTTTAATAATTTTTTAAAGTGAATTTTAATCAATCTTAAAGAATAATTACTTATTTTAACAACAAGTAATTCTTAATAAAGAGGAGATTTTAAAATTGATAATTACTTTGATTATATTTTATTTTTAGTATAAATATTATTATATATGATAAATACATAAAATGAAGTTGATCAATGCCATTTTCAGTTTTGAGCTTAAAGTCAATAGAAAACCAATAAAAATTTTGATTTTTAGATTTAATTTTGGCTTGATCATCATATGTTTTTTATTTATTCAATGATGTATGATTGAAATATTATTGCCTATTGGATTGATATTTTTGATCAATGAAATACTAAATATAACAGATGAATTGATTAATTTATGATTGGTCAATTAAGTAGTTTAATTATTTGCAATTTAAGTAGTATCATATCATGATTTCGAAGGATGTCGAATAGGATATTTATTAATCATTATTTAAATAATTTGTAATATTTTGCTTTGCTATAAGTAGCATAATTATATTCATATAAATATACTTTTAAATTATTGATGATTGATTTCTCTTAAATTTTTTAATTATCATTTTATGCTTTCTTAAGAATATATTATTATATGAATTGATTATTATTAGGATAAAATAATAGTTAAGTAAAAAAGTTATATTTAACATTTTAAAATAAATAAAGTATTAATAATCTAAAAATAATTCTTTGTCTGTAAATTGTTTTCATCGAATTTAGACAAATTCAACCTTCTTTCTTTTGTCATTATAAAATGAGGTATATTAGAATAGGCTTTCCAATTAAAGGGCGTATTAATTTGATATGAGTGACTTGAGATTAAAAGAACCTTTTTATTTTAATCATGTCCTAATTAATTTTCCATCAATTCCTCTAAAAATATACCGATTTCTTAGATCACATCTTGGACAAAAAGATATTTCTAAATTATATTTATTTTAATGGTTTTTATAAATTTTCACTTTTCTAAAAATCTACTTTTGGATTCATAATACATAATTCAAAAATTCCTTTCAATTAAATTTTATTTTTAATAAGGATCAAATTAAATGAATTGATAATAATAATACTATATTCTATTTTAGAGTCAGATTTGGAAAGCATATGAAAATTTTTTTCATGGATATTATAATAAATTTTAATATTATTTTAAGATTTCTAAATGTGTTGATTTATCCTCTTTTTCCTTTTTTTTTTAATATGATAGATGATGTTTTTTTTTGAAATGTTTTTTTATAATATGAAAATGCTACTCTAATTTTTAATACTTATATTAAATTATTAAAGTCTTCAAATTATTGCTGGAATTCGAAATTGTTAAAACAATTTTTTAGACATCAATTAATGATTAATTAAATGTTAAATTTATTTGATTTAAGTGGTTATTCAAATTTAAAAAAATTTCAGTTCATTGATATATACACTAATAATCCTATTACTTGGATACAATTTTTTTAAGGAAAATGAAATTAGATTGATTAATTTAGATATAATTTTTATTCATAAAGCAACATATCAATGAGTTTTGTAATTTTTGGATTAATAGATCTTATGATATCTAAGTATTTTTTATATTTTAAGTATTAAGAAAGAGTAGATAAAATAGTTTTGTATGCCTAGAAATTTAAAAAATATGTAGATATAATAAGGTGTTTAGTAATTAGATGGAAAATAATTAGAGTTAGTGATATTGTAGTAAAAAAGAAGTTAAATAAATTGAATAATAAAAATAAATTAATATTTTAGATAAATAAAATAAAACGATGATTGATGAGATTTCGTTGTTGGGAAGATTTAATTATCTGAAAACAGAGATAAGATATAGGAAGTCAAGATTTAGTGGATTTTGGTTGTATCCATCAATAGTAATATCGATTGCATTTGATATGAGTATAATAAATATTGGAGTAGTTTTGATAACATTGGTATTAGCAGCTATTTAAAAAAATCATAATAAAAAAATTTATTTCTTAAGAGTATGAAAATCAAACTTAGTAATAGGTTCTGTTATTATTTCCAGAATTACTTCTTAAAAATTAGAACCATGCATAGTTGAGTTCATTTTTATTAAATTAAATATTTGTACCTGAATGGAGTACTTAAATATTATTTTAATTGATTTTGGTAAGATCTTTGAATGGATTATATTTTGGATTTGGGTTAGTAATGATGTCTAGATATTTAGAGATAGTGAAACGAAGATTTTTTATATAATTTAATATTAAGAAATATGAATAGTATGAAAAGTAATATGTATTAGAGAAATTGCCAATAGAGATATTTATCATAAATAGTGAAGGAAATATGTTGTATAGTAATAATAAAGTAAAATAATTTGAGAATGAATTAAAATGGAAATTGAGTAATGCAATTCGTAAGAAGAAAATGAGTAAGTTAACAATAAAGAGTAAATAATACATGTTAGAATAATATGATAATGATTTTATATTGACATAGGAATAATTTGGTTGTGGTGATGTAGAATTATTTACAAAGCTATCATAATAGATAGATTATTTATACAATTTGTTATGTTAGGATTATTAGAAGTGGAATAATTTAAGAGCATTAAAGGTGGTTAAGGAGAGTGATTTAAGTATATTAGGATAATGTACAACAGATTGTAGATTATTGAAATAACAAATAGATATGATAAATTTGTTGAATCATGATTGTAAATAGATAACATATTCATGGTTAGAGAAAGACGAGTTTTTTTGTAAGTAAATTGTTTGATTTAGTGAAGAACTATGTAGTGAATGTAATTGAATCAATGGTGAATAGACTATAAGAACATTATAGTTTAATCTAATTAGAATTTGAGGATGGTATTCCTGAAAAACTGTTAGGAAATAAAAATGCAATAATGTATGGTTTATATGCATTTTTGAGAAGTGCATTGTTAGTGGAATAGAAATCAGATATATTGACTATCAATGTTAGAATAGCTTAAGTCTATTTGGATAAGTCTGAATATGATTTAGAGATTTCAATAAGTTATCCATGTTCAAATAAATAAATGAAATTATATTGTTAGGATGAATATGAAAATGAGAATGAAAGGCTATTACTATACATGATTAATTAATGTAAATAATTACTATCTATTGATTATAAAACAGATGGAGATAATATTATAATTTTATTGATTACTAAAGTTTAATTAGGTAAAAGGAGTGATAAATCATGTGACAATATATAAATGGTAGATTTAACATTTACTAAAAATGTTATAGATCTTAATCATTACTTTTGGAATGCCAAGAGATTTGTTTCACCAATAATCACTTTTGATAAATCATTGAGATCACCTCTTTAAAAATAAACAGCCAAATTTAATAATCCAGATTCTTTGGCATCAACTATTTAATTGAAATCTATTCCATAAGTTTCTGCTGCTAATTCTAATGTATTGTCTCTTGAAAATACCTTAATTGACAACTAAGATATTTTTAAATAAGTTGAAAATGTTATCAAATATACTGTTCAATTCCCTTTAATATAAGATGAAATTATTAAATTACTTTAATAAACATTATAAGTAGCTTATAATGAAGGCATTTTAGATCACAATAAAACTATACTTGATATAGGATATCGTCATATTTAAAATGATAAAATAAGTTAAATTAGTATTAGATCAGATACTTAATTTGTATAAGATTATTTAGATTAATTAAATGATCATTACGATATTTAAGCCAATAAAAAAAATACTTAACCTAAATAATTTATTACTCCATAATTAAAACCTAGATAATTATAAAGATTTGATTAATTAAGAGGATAACCCTAATATCTAATGAATAAAAAGAAGAAATAAGTGAATAAATCTATTTTGGGTAGAAAAAATTAAGATTAAAAATAATTAAGTGTTCTTTTCAGTCCTTGTGTAATGAGCAGATTTAGAAATAATTTAGTTTCTATAGTTTAAAAATCTAAACCTTAGTTATCTAATTTGAATGATAATAATGGTATATTTAATAAATTACTTAGATTTTAAATTTAATCTTAAAGTAGGAGAACATAGAATAAGAAAGTAATAAAGAAAATGGTCTAACAAAATTAGATTAGATGAATTACCTTAATAGTAGCCAAATATTCTATGTTTAATACCAAATACTTAATATATTTAAGTAGCTTAAAGATTTGGTAATAGTATGTATGGAGATTAAATGATAGGAGAACCAATAATAACATATTCTGTTTCAGAATTGATTAGCATATATAAATAACATTTTAATGAAGGTAAACAATTTTCATTCATAATGATTTACATTCATAAAATAAGTGAAATAGAAGAATTGAGTATAGCTGTACAAAGTAATGAAAATTAGTGGTCTTAAGATCCTGATTTTAAAAAAACAGTAATGATTGGAATTTACAATTAAACATAACTTAATAAAAATCTATATCAATATCTTAAATATACAATTCCACTGAGTCAAGATGCAGAATAATTAGCTAAATCAAAAGAATGGATAGCATAAATAAGTAAATGACTATAAATTATATTATTATTAAAAATTAAGAAATAAATAATGTCTCACCATCATCAAAAATATTATGAAAGACCTGGTAATACTTTAATACTTATATTTAAAGATGGATATGTATACTCATCAGAAGAATTAGATGCTAATAGAATTCCTACTGCATTTAGAGATAGATGTGTCAATTTTTATGTCCCCTACTTCAAATGTCAATAAATCAAAACAGATAATCTATTTAAAACATCTCTTGCTGCTATTGACTAAACATTAGATCATTGGTATTATTACTTTACTATTCTTCTAGGGGTGGAGAATGCTATAAAGAAAAAAGAGACTATCTTAATTGTGCTAAAACAGCGTATCATCTAATTTTCATTATCTTTCAGTTATCAATATTCCTTAGCTGTCCCTGTTCAAAATGTTTATACTGCTAATCCATGGTATGCCACATAAGAAGCTGTTTCTACTGAATTAGAAAAAAATCATTTTAATTCACCAGTCCTATATTGACAAAATAAACAAAAATTAGTACAAAATAAAACATTATTATTATTATTTATATGCATTATTCACTTGTAGAAGGATCTTAATAAACTGATTCCATTCATTATCCTTCTAAAAATCATCTTAGATATCCTTCCTAATTACATATGGGTTCTCCTAGAATCATACTTTAACATAATCATTTCCCTCTTGTCAAATCAATCATTGTCACTAAACCTTAATTAAAATCTAACTTCTAATCAATTAAAAACACTTACTATACTAATCGATAACCTGTCAAAACACTTTGTAATGAATAATTATAAATACCACAACACGAAAAAATATTAAAAGAAAAAAATAAAAAACTTTAATTAAGAAAAAATATGACCAGAAAATTATAAAAAATCACTGAATACCTAGCATCTTACAGAAAACCCTGAGAAAACATCTTCTTATGATTATATATTTGATAATAAACTTAAAACATTCTTTCTATTCTATCTAAATATGTTAAAATTATTTACTTATTATTTGTTATCTCTCGAATTTAAAAAAAAAATCATTTCAAACAAATTAATGTGAATCTAAATTATTTTAAGATCTTTTTTATAGTAGAATTTAATTAACCTTTATTCTTACAATTTAAAATATTAAAGGATCATTATCCTTTTATATTTTAACACTATAACTAAAATTTCAAAAATTAATTGAAAATATTTAAAAGAATCAACTGTTGCAATTTTTGATGTTAATTCATAATTAAATTTAAATCTTCAAATATATTTAGGAACCACAAAAATAAAAGTATAACTATTATTATTTCAAATTTTCACCAAATTTAATCCTCTAATGTAACTTAAAATTTAAATTATAAGAACAAAAACTAAGATAATGAGTTAGATTAAACTTTTCTCTTATATTACATAATAATCCTTGAAAGGCAAAGATCTTCCCTATAATATATAACCCAAAGATGATAGTAAGGTTTTTAAAAATTAAATAAATATTTATAAACTTGTTTTTATATAAAATAATTTAAAAAAAGTTAATGATATGATTAAATAATTACTATAATTTTATCATTAAATATATGATAAAATGATTATCATCTTCTTAAAGAGTTCTCAACTCTATTGCATGTTTCATCTAAGAGTCTAAGCATAGTTTCTTCAGTAGCTTCTCTTTAAGCTTTTTCTTCTGTTAACTATAAATTTAAAATATTATTCATCTCATCTATCATTCTATACATTTGAGATTAAGACTCTTATCTTTATCTTTTCTCTTTAGTCAAAGTCTCTTATATTTAAAACACCGATTCTCCAAATCTCCTAATTAACTCTTAACAAGCAGCTTCCCTTTAAATTAATTTTTATTAGAAATACCTTTCTCTTCTTTCATTTTAAACTTCCTCTGCTAGATTTAAGACTCTTTCACCTATTTCATTAGAATACTATTCTTCTGTTTCCTCTCTCATTTTTTTTTATTTTGCTAACTCTAATCTAAATTGATAAGATTTTTCATCAATCAATCTTGCTATTTTCAATTCTGATTCTCTTCTCAATGTTTTATCTTTTTACAATTCTTTAACTATATTTTACTCTAAACTCTTTAAGTCTCTCTATTTAAAATTATCATCCCTTGACTATAATAAAAATTTGAATTCAAACATCTCTAATTATTTTTTCGTTAGTTAATCCTTCTTCCATTTTACTCAATTGGTCTTAAATCATTTTCAATCTGTTAATATCATTTTAATAAGCCTTTTAAAATTTCTCATCAAAAAGCTTTAACTTTGATTCATAAGTTTCTTTTTTTAAGGTTTTATCTTCGTCAATCTATAATCCTGATAACTTTTCGCTTAACTAAGCTATCTTAGCTCTACTAGGAGATACTATTACAATTAAATGATTGCTTACCATTTCTATCAGTAATTGAAGATTATGGAGGAATTACACTTTTCAAATTTTTTGTTTAGGGTGATTAATATAACGAGCTATTTAACATTAATTATTTTATAAATATAAATTAATTAGACTTTAATTTATTTCATATACATTTAACTCATATTTATTATCAAAGGTATATA